CGCATCTGCCAGTTGACGGGGGACATCCGCGAATGATCCGCGGGTAAGCAGCGGATATATAGGGCTCTGGTTACAAATATCAATAAATAATTCTAAGTGATATTTACTAAAAGTACGAAAAAATGTTGTGTACCCCAGTTCAGGAGTTGAACGCCAGGTACACTATAGCCTTACACGCTACACGGTCAAAAGTTACCTAAATTTGCAGAGGCAAGGTAGGTAAAATTACGACTAATTATTTTCAATATTTGTGCTTTGTATTCCAGTCCTGCACAATCGTTTCAAAGCTCATATATACAATGGAGCCAAAGGACAGAAACGTGAAAGGCACAAGGCAACAAACAAACAAACGAACAAATTCAGTTATTCATACAACCAGAACATGGCGACATTGTTACCTACTGCGGATGAGAAATTTTAGCCTGTACATTACGACTGCTAACCTGAGGTTTTTAACGTGCACCCCGCAATAGGGATACACGACCGCACGCCGGTACGATGCTCATTCAGATCGAAACGGAAAGGGGTGGGGATTGAACCCAGGATCCCTGGGTTCTGCAGCCCGAGATTTCGCTCCACGTTCTCAGAGCTGGTGTGCGCCAACTTACTCGGCCACCGATCCCCTGGGACAAGACAGGAGAAGCGCTACTCACAACTGGGACTCAATTCGCGACTCCAGCAAACGATAGGGGCGCTCTAGTCAGGCAAAATGTCGGACGAAAGGAGGTCGTTTTCGTTGTTTAGCACGCGGACCACCATAAATTTCTTGCACTGCAGCGTGAAATTGGTGTTACATATAAAAGCGTAGCGATTTTCTGACGGTTGAAACCAGCTTCATGTCAGTGCCTAGAAATAACACGGCGGAAGCATAAAAATAATTACTGAAAATGATATTTGTTACTATCCTGCCTACGAGAATCAAGCAGCGATAGCAGACGACAGAGTCGAAAGAACCTTCTCTCTTGAGCTTCTCGGCGTTGCCGCTACGCGGCGTCGACTTCGCTGGAGTCGCCAATAGAGAAAGGCAAGAAAGAAGCGTGGTATGTGATTACTGTAAATTACGGAAAAATAAAAATAAAAAGTGTAATGTTACAGATAGATGTGCAATGATAAAATTAACTGAGTTAAATTGTAATCTTGTTAAAATGCTGATAAAATGATAAATATTTTAAACTTTAAAAATCATGAAAAACACATAGAAAGAAAAAATTAAGATGAGAAATTTTTGAGAAAATAAAAAAAAAAACCTTAAATAAGACAAAAATTCAGGAAAAAAGGTTGAGATATATTAGCCCTTCTCAGTCAGTGCGACAGTTGGCGCACTGATGCATTTGTCACGCTTAGCCTTGAAACCTTTTGCCTCATAAAGCACTCTGATCATCCGGTTGTGGAAACGCTTTATAACTTTGGTTTCGGAGGACAAAGGGAGGCATTTGCAGGCTCTGACGTGTAAAGCCATGTGTCTTGATGGCGACGGCCTGAGTGAAAGTTCATGCTCTCGTAACCTGACGTTTACTCACAGGCCAGATTGTTTATAATTTTATGATTTAATTTAGTTATTTTTATTAGTACAAATCTATCTGCAATATTACATTTTTTTTTTTATTTTCCGTAATTTACAATTCTCACATTTCACGCTTCCTTATCGTTTCTTTTCATGATATCCAAGTAGTGAGTAGCGCTCGTCCTGTCTTGTTCATTTTATGTTCCTGTCCTCTTGTGTATATGTATGTATAATATTGTATGTTTAATATTTAACCAACTAGGCCCAGCAACTGATTTTAATTTTTTTCGAATATAACGCAGACCAACGACTATTACAGAAATTAACATGATGAATGTACTGGTGCATGTAATTAAAAGAGTGATGATGATCCGAATCAGTCTTGTACACGTTACTAATAAAAAGTAATCGATTACAATTACAATTACTCTTGGCTAGAAAGTATTCGATTAGATTACTTGATTACTCGACGGCAAAAGTAATTGGACATTACTTAAAGAAGTAATCGTTACTTTTCCGATTACTTTATTGTGTGAAGACACATCTTTAGCGCTCATAACAATGAACTACTTCCAACCTATATTTCACATTTGCACAAGTATTGAAGAAGAAAAACTGGCTTCCTCTTCGTGGTCGTTGCACCTTCACAATGCGGACACAAGCATAGAATTCGTTTGAAGACGTTTAATGATTTGGGCGTTCGCCAGTGTGTGTGTGTGTGGGGGGGGGGGGGGGGGGCGGAGGGGCTTCTAGATCTTGTTAAGCTTCAGAAAGGGTTGTCGCTCAAAGTTTGCGTCGCTCATTTTATTATCCACATGTGGATGAGCTCGCATGTTATACAAAAGAGTAGCAGCTCCAGGATTTGAAACGGATCATGTGTAGTATCCATTAGCGGAAGAGATCGCCCCGACCACTTCTCAACTCGAAACATTGCTTGTAACAAAGACCACGTAGGGGAAATGGGGAAATATTTCAACTGCCTTTGTTATATTTTGCATCCGCTTTAGGCATTCTTCGGTTCTAATTCTCTTACGGGCTGCGAGTAGGTACCCTACGCAGGATTTTTTTATTTTTTTTATTTCTGTGTGTGTGTGTGTGCGTGAGGGGGCTAGTTTGAGCGAAGGACTCACAAAGCTACATTCTGCTCCCTCAAACTTCGCCCTGAATGGCCTTTGTCACGCACTGTGGCTTCCCTGAGGCTTCCCACTCCCAGTCCCCCCAGATTGGAAAAAAAAACAAAAAAACTGACATTTTACAGAAACTGTACATAGAAAGAGATTGACCTCGTTTCCTACAGCTCCGCAAAAATCTTTCTTTTTTCCGTTCGAAAAAACAAAGCAAAATTTATTTTTGTCATTTCATAAAAAAAGGCGTGTGCCCGGGGGGGGGGGGGGGGGGGGGGCGTGGACAAATTGTAACGATTACAAGTAATTTTATTACTTCAAAAAGTAATCAGATTACTCTTGGGATTACTGCTTAATAAAAGTAATCAACTGATTACAAAATTACTCCAAAAAGTAATCGATTACAAGTAATTTGATTACTTGTAATGCGTACGGTACAAGTCTGATCCGAATATAGGCTCTTGCTTTTCACTCATCGTTGCAGCGTTGAAGGCCAAATACCTGGCGTAAAAGTTCGCACACGGACAAACACATAGTTTATACTTTAAACAGCCCGCCTTCGCCAAAAAACAAAAATAAAGGAAAGATAAAACAAATGAAATTTACAAATGTGCTTAATTGCTCGGTTAAAGCTGGTGTGCAAAAGTGTGAGACTGAATTTTTCCGCTATTTTTAGCGAAGAAATTCTGAAGGAGCTTGAAATGTAGCGAAAATTTTGCAACGTAACACTTAATTTCTCCGATAAATTTTGCGGGGACATTACGCGCTTCATTTTTAGTTACGCTTTCGCCTGGCGACGGTGCCTATCGTTCTTTTTCCAGACATGTCTAGCAATCAGTACAGTAGAAATGAAAAGAAATCTTTCAGTCCCTCCCCCCTCCACCGATCACTTCCGACGCCCCTGGTTCTATTGTTCAAAGCGACAATGTGGTCTGAACCCACACTTAACTGCCTAAGGGAAGAACCGGCTGCCCTCGTGATCTTGGTTTTATGGGGTGCTGGATTTCTAAGAGTTGAAGGAGAGCTTTTGTTTTGTGTGGGTATGTCTTGTTTTTGTCGCGATAAGAACGACAGAATACCGCACAACAATTCATCACTTATCAGCGTCGACCGACATAGCTTTCGTTTCTTCTTGCAATGTGGAGGAAATAAAAAATGAGACAATATTGTGTGTGTACGTGTGTGTGTGTGTGTATGTGTGTGTGTGTTTTACTGAGAGCAACCACTGATCACTTGCTGAAACAGCTGGACGATCCAGAACACCGCGACCGATATGTCCGATATGTATGCAGCAGAGACATCTACCGCGAGACACCCGTTCAAATCTTTCCCCAAGGGTTAACCTATCCACACAGCGTCGATTCTTTACCGGGATGCAAGTTTGCAAAGGCACAAAGACGAAGAACGTTGGTATGCCAAGGCATGTCCTTTGATCACAACGCCTGGGACCGCGAGATTTGCGTTCGATGACTTCTGCTTCCTGCTCTGCGGTGCTGCACTTTCGTAAAAAGTTCCACGGGTCCACAAAGGGAGCTACGACCGTTTACACAATATTTCTAAAAGATGTTCTGCAAATGACGGCGAATAAGCAGAAAATGTGTCTTTTATCGCATATCCTCCCAGCCTCTTCGACGTTTCACGCGGCTGACTTTATGATGGCCTAAAGGCTGGACTCCATGGAGCCGAATATGTGGTGAAGAAGCGACGAACTTCGCCTGGTGGCGCGTTCGCTTTGCGGACTACGCAACAGCCACTCTTCTAAAGCCGTCGCAGAGCGAACGCCGCTGAGCGAAATTCGTCTCTCTTTTTGTGTTATGGAGTTTAGCCTTAAGAAGACTATTCGGAACAACCGGTGGCTGCACTCGCGCTGCAGCAACCAAGCATTGCGTAATCCCGCAAGTTGTCATGAAGATTAGATATTTACCTTATTGCCTGCTGTTATATGTAACGAATAACTTTATATTATACTGTAACTTATTACCTCTTATTATGTTTTGAAATAAGTACTAGATATAAAATCTTTTCAACAACAAGATTTGGGATCTTGTTTGCAAATGGCGGTTTCCTTAGAGACTCTGCCAATGACATACTTTTTAACTGGTGGAATACTCAACAGATTGAAAACTACTTCACCGCTATTTCTTACTTTTTTTCATAAGTTTACGTAATGTTTTTTTTTATTTATATTAATAAATGAATACTTACACAAAAATAATAAAATGATCGTATATTGCGCCCACATCACATGCACATCGGTTTTTCTTTGTTGTTTTATTGCTCAAATGGCAGCGAGCAGATTTAGATTTTTTTTTGTACAATGCGCACTTTTTTTTGGCAACGGATTCACTTCGATAAACATATTGTCTACTCACCTGAACACATTGTCCTCTCTCCAATCTCCGAAATTAGAATGACAAGCATGAGTTCTAAGCACAGCATTTTAGTAGATGCGATAGATTTTCCGTATAAAGTTAGGTTCTGTAACAGTATGCGGAAACCCTGATGTTCACCTGTACACCTTTGAAACCCTCGCTGGGCGACGGCAGCTTAAGTACCCGCATGTGAGCTGTAGGAACCGCCCCTTAAGAAAATACAAAAAAGGTGTTTTATGTTTTCTTTCTGTTGTATTGACGCTCGTTTTTTTTTTTCAAGAGCAATGCATAAAAGAGTATTTGCCCTTGCTTCAAAGCTCCACACATGCCTCTTTTTTTTATTATTCTCAGATTACAGTCATCTTCTGAGTGATAAACAAGAATTGTTTGAGCGATTGCGCACACTTTCTATTGCGTACTTAGTTTACAATTAAAAGTATTTATGCATGTTTTGATCAAAAGACTAATTTTGAAAGTGTTCGTTACGGACAATCTCGATATAATTCTTAATGTGATACACACCAAAAATTTAAAATTAGAAATGCCTCGGCATAATTCTTAACGAGACCCACACTAAATTTCAAAATTAGAAACGTTACAAAAGAAGGTCGATGCAAGTGCTCTCCTATAAAATTTGACAGATTTGGAAAAAAATAAAAGATTGGCCGCTTGCGTCTTTTTTTATACAATTTATTATGAAGAGACTTTTCAGAAGGTCTGCCCTCCAGCATGGTTCACATCTGACAGTCTTGAACATTCATGTTAAGTTGAATTTTTCTAAATCACGTAAACTTACATGTAGCTCTTCTCTACTAGCCGTGTCCCCAAATAACTGGAACAGTCTGAAGATAGAGTAGACAGGCGACCAAGTTAATGTTACACATTTTTTATACGTTTTGTGTTTGTCCCTGTTTTCGTCCGTCGTCCCCGGTTTTTCAAAAATGTGTGCAATATAGTACCCCTGATTATGTTGCGACTTTCTGAAACCCGATGCATTTTCGCGTTCCCTTTTGTACTGTTTGTTTGACATCGTTTATATATTGTTGGATGTATTGACATTTGAGTGACTTATTTTTAGTGTATATTTGCGCACTTTAGCGTCGTCGCACTTTTATTATTGACAGTTCGATTATTTTTTGTGTGTTTCTAAATATGTAGCTTGTAGTATATCACGATTACTTTTTTTCTATTTTTATAACGCTCCTGTATAGTCAATAACTAGACACCTTTGAAGTCAATGAATGAAATAAAATCAAAATTGATTTCGTAAAGGATAAGGTCTTATGTGGATACCATTACAGAATGTTTCCAAATTACCGAAACTTCCAAAATCCGAGAAACATCTCTTCTTTGAAATCACGAGTAACAATATGGCGGCCCTTCGTAATCGAATCGAAAGAAAGGCGGGTACAAACTTAGCCGAGCCTGTCTTCAAGCAGAATAACCGGTCAGTATTCCCCTTTCGAGGACCATGGTCACTGACACCTTAAGGAACGCAGGGTGTGGCTTTATTTGTTTACACTTCTTGCTTCAGGATTCGTTCTTCGGAGTTCTTACCGGGTGATTCCACCATATTATTGACTGCAGTATGATAATAAGATGCTCGGGGCTCACCAGTGTTGCGGAGTTGCCAATCCGGAGTTGGAATGATTCCGGAATCATTCCACATTTTTGCGACCCCGGAATGGAATGGGAATGGAATGGCGGCAGCGTTGAGAAGAATGGAATGGGAATGGAATTAGATACCTTTTGCCCGGAATGGAATGGGAATGGAATGGGTCCGTTTTTTTATATATATTTTTTATTCATTTTATTATTATTTTGTTTACGTTTAGCTATACCGAGTTAGTCAGCGAGTCAGTTGTTCAGAAATAAAATGAGCGAGAAAATGCAAACCCGCGTGGAGCCCTAACAGACTTATACGCAAAAAAAATAAGAAAAATGCAATACAAAAAACAAGCGTCAAAGCAAAGAAAGGGAGGGGGGAAGGGGGTGGCGGTGGCGCCTTTCACCAGTGAAGTTCAACACAAATCCCAAATCCGAATGCGTCTGCGCCTGTTGCGCGGCTTAAAGGTACGTCATCAGTCAATGTGACCCTGACCCGCTGCTCTGGTGATCCGATACCCAGGAAGGAGACCAGACGTGGCCTCGCTGCGCCGACCCAGACTTCGTACTCCTGCGGCTCGTCTCGAGCGCGCTGTTTCTCGAAGAGCTCATAGCTGTGCCGGCCATCTCAGGTCGCCATCCACAGGTCTCTGTTTGGATGACGCTAGCCGAAACGTGATGACTGCCATTCATGCGTTGGAGGCGGAAGGTCGGCAGGTAGGACCGTCACTACAGGGATGCCACCGTATTGACCTTTCAACCGTAACAGAAGATAAGACATATGCTCCAGGATGCTTCAGGTGGTCCACCCTATTCTCGAAAATTCCAAATGCAACTGCCTGCATGGTCTTCAACGAGGCCACCTACAACGAAAGTACGCATAGTCCTTTCATACAGCAGCGTGGGTAAAGTGCAATGTTCAAGGCAACACCGGCAGATACAAGAATACTAGTTCATTTCGCCGTGACGTCATGTGATCAGTGTTGACAGGGGCGCCCTTATTGGACAGGGAAGTGATGTTTTGATAAAATTTATTTACAGGTCGAAGTTTTTTCGCATCACTGGTCAGACAAACAGGATGCCAGGGAAGGGCCCGCGGTCAATCCTTGATTGAACGTTTCTTGAACCCATTGCCTGCGGGAAAGTAATTTCGGAATAAAGAAAAAACTTCCACTTCAAACTTAAAGCCTCATCTCAGTTGGCGTCTCAAAGAAATTTGAAAAATGTATTGCATTATCAGTATTTGTATTTCTGCCCTCCCTAAAATGTATTCTTGTATTTGTATTTCTGAAGACTTTTTGACTCTTTTTAAAATATGTTTTCGATACGTATCGAGGTACATTTTTACATATATATTCGAGTATCAGTATTTTAGCTACTATTTTTATCTATCCCAGTATTTGTATTTTCAAATAACTTTCTGACTATTTCTGCCCAACCCTGCAACGCAATGCAGCTCTCGAGTGTGAATGTTTACGTGTAGGAATTAGAGGAATGGAATGGAACGATTCAGCCACTGCAGGGGCCCTAAACTCGTCAAACACAAAGTTGGAGCCGAAAGTTCATGGAGCGCGCCGATTGGACGTTGGCGAAAAAAGTGCGAAGTCATCGTCGGGATAGTCCAATCGGTGCGTTCAGTCAACTTCGGCCCCAACTTTGTGTTTGACGAGTTTAGAGGCCCTGGAGTGGAATGGGCCCAGTGTCCCCATTCCTAGGAGTTGAAAGGAATAGAATTATCGAAAACTCTAATTCCCCGGAATGGAATCGGAATGGAATGGGGGTGCCCATTCCGCAACACAGGGGCTCACCACGCGCTGCGTTATTTAAGTAGTCGGTGACAGCACTGGAAAGTATTTGATTTAGAAAGTTCTTTATAAATCGAATGCACTTACTATTTGACACCAGCACCTGCAATAGATATTTGCAAGTACTGCCTCTGGGCGCCGCCATCTTGCTGCTGGTGTGGGTGGATCGTCTAGTCGAGCGTTCCTGAGGCCGCGGGTACGCCTCAGCAATGCTTCACTATAAGAAGATCTACCCACACCAGCAGCAAGATGGCGGCGTCCAGAGGCCGTACTTGCAAACGTCTATAGTAACGACCAGTTTAAGAAACGCAGGGCGTGGCTTATTACGCCTATGTTTTTTTTTTTTCGTTCTTTGGCGTTTCTATCGGCCAATGCCGCAATCTTATTGATGCGCAGCGAGGATGAGACGCTCGGTGCTCACCATGCACGCCCCGCGTTTCCGAAGCTACCATTGGCTCTACGTAACAATAGCCGGAGTTTTGGCGTCACCTCAACAATTCCATAGCGAGATACAGATTGGACACGACTACTGCATTGATATTCGGTTGGGGCTCGAGTCCTCAGTGATTGAAGACGAATGTTTTCCGAACGCTGGTGCATCCCTCATGTCCAACCCACGTTCAGAGCATCTAAGATATCAATGGCGGACAGGCGTTGGCGCGGACTTTGAAGAAGGTCAATTGGTGCCGCCTAAAGAAGAGCGCAGCAGACAATATATACGTGGCGGTGGGGCCAATCAGACCGCGTTAGAAATGCAACGTCACGGAGTTCGTCATCTTTCTGTTCGTTGACTATCATATAGGCTGAACTAATCGAGCGCAGTGAGAGCGCAGTGACCTTATGCTTTTACCTTTCGTTTCACACTAAGTCCGACCGCAATCGATTGTGCGACGCGATGGAGTTCATCAATCAGCGCCACAAGTAACACCACTCGTCGCCTTGATCAGTTTACTTTCCCCGACCAAACCAATCGAACACAACAGATGGGCGGCGGTCGTGCGTTCATTTTCCTCGGCGTGATTGGTTTAACCGCGGAAAACTGGCCACTAGCAGTCACGTGACTTGCCACTAGTCACGTGGTGCTTGCGCTCTTTCGCGAGCTTCTTATGGGCTCTAAAGGTGACTTAGTAACCTACTTGTTAAGTGCTACAAGAAAAACAAAAAAATAAAAATTGGCTGCAGAAATCATCATTTTTAGTCATCCACGAATTGCGATAGCAATTCGTAGAAAACCAGTCAAGCAGCGCCCAAGTTACATTGTCACGGCGCTCACCGTCTTTGTGCGTTCGCCGTCGTTGACTAAAGCAATCATGCACAATAAATGCGCCGCGAAAGGTGGCGGTAGCGGAGATTATGTTGAGTGTTGCTAGCCAGAATGTACGCACGACGTGTGCAACACACTCGATACATTCTGGTTTACCACTGCATTTACCCCGACGGTGCGGGAAAAGAGCGAATTGTTTGCTGTTGACTTGTGCGTTTCGTCATTCCTTTGTTGTCTCGTTGCCATATGTTCACTTTGCTTCTTGCTCCGTTCATTCTCATTGAACTGCAGCAGCCGAAGCCCAAGAAAGCGTTCCGCAGTAACCAGTATGCGAGAAAACCCTTTACCTTAAAGGGGTCATCAAACGATATCGGGTTGGGAAGTGCATGACTT